GTGATGGAATAGGAAATATGAATTTCTCTGCAAGCTGTCATTTTGGTTTAATAAACTGAAGAGCATTATTTTCTTCAACTCAATTAATTTCCTCCAAGAAAACCACAGAAGAAAAGATCCATGCAGGCATTCCATGCAAGCGCTTCCCAGCAAGATTCTAAGGGCCTCCACAGACTAGAGATACAGTTGTCGACAACTATTTAGTTGTCGATGATAAAAAGTTGTCGATAACAAAAAAGCCATTGTGTGAAGCTAGTTATCGATAACCAAGGCCCTTAGTTATCGACAACTAGCTTCACACACTGGCTTTTTTGTTATCGACAACTTTTTATGATCGACAACTAAATAGTTATCGATAACAATTGGGCCAGTCTATCGACAACTATCTCTCTAGTCTGTGGAGGCCCTTAGTTTCAATGATGAGAAAGAGATGTGTTTCTCCTCGTATAGAGCGGTTTTCATTTTGAGTTTCGTAAAACCAAAACCAAAGCAATAACAATGGCCAATCATAAGAAGCATCTAGACAACAGAATGAACCAATGAGAACTCAAAGCAAATACACGCAACCGGCGCCAAGCGCGGGAAAACGCATGTGACCAAGTCGCGATTGGTTTTGGTTTTGTATCTGATTAGTTGGTTAATTTAGTAGGTGGCGCGAGTTTTTTAAACAAATCATAGAGCGTAATAAAGCAAAACCAAAGCAATGTTGAAAGCCGCTCTATTCAGTCTTTGCATACACAAGCCTATTCATGTACTGTTGTATGTTGACGTTCATTTTTGTGCAGACAAACCGGGCGAGTTGCATTGGACAATAGCGTTCAACGCTTACAAGTTATCGAATTTCGAACTTATCAAGTGGTCTATAAAAATTTCCCTCGTCTATGGGGGCACTAAAACTATTTTATGAAAGAGAGAAAAATAGAGAGACAATTCGACATTTTTGCCAGATGAACATTTTGCGCAAGAATAGCAGCAAGCCATTAGAAAATGGCATTGATTGGTTAAACATTTCAATATAAATAAGCAAAGTGATTGGAAGTTTCGATGTTTTCTCTAAGGCCCAGTTCAGACGCCGTACTTCACATGAGCCGAATCGAATTCGATGAATTAAGTTCATGTGAGGTACGGCGTCTGAATCAATTCAGAACGGCTGGATGAATTCGGATCGGCTCAGCCGTTCTTTCCGCCTGGCTCAGCCGGGAATAACGGCTGTGGACCGGCTTTGATTCAGACGCCGAACTTCACACTGACGCTGATGAGCCGAAACAAATGCTGCATGAATTATTATGATGTATTTTTCAAAGCTCGGCGTCTGAATCAATTCAGTCGGTCTAAATTAATTTGGGTCGGCCTAAATTCGAATTCGATTCGGCTCATGTGAAGTACGGCGTCGGAACTGGGCCTAATACATCATTATCAAGAACTAGTGTCAAGTCAAAAAAGAAAAAAGAAAAAAGAAAAAGTGTCGATATAAGATGAAAGTCGGATTAAGTCATCACTATTAATAACAAGTAAATGGTCATTTTGCACCAAGCTAGAGTTTTATAATGATTTTTTTAAATCCCAGTTTGTTGGTTGGTTGGTTGGTCGGTCGGTCGGTCGGTCGGTCGGTCGGTCGGTCGTCGTCGGTCGTCGGTCGGTCGGTCGGTCGGTCGTCGTCGTCGGTCGGTCGGTCGGTCGGTCGGTCGGTCGGTCGGTCGGTCGTCGGTCGGTCGGTCGGTCGGTCGGTCGGTCGGTCGGTCGGTCGGTCGGTTGGTTGGTTGGTTGGTTGGTTGGTTGGTTGGTTGGTTGGCTAGGTCGGTCGCGGGGGTCGGTCGGTCGGTCGGTCGGTCGGTTGGTTGATTGGTTGGTTTGGTTGGCCGGTTGGTTTTAGTTCGTATAGGTTGAATACGTATACTACACTGGTAGACTGACTAGTCTCAAGTAGAGGCAAGTTTCAAAATTGTGTCCACTTGCGACTTCCTTTGGCCAGAACTTGCGAACACTTCGTTAACGTGCGTTAACGTTAATCGAGATCAAAGTTGCACGCAAGTTTTTCACTGTTTGACAACCCAACGTAAATCTTGTTGTTTACTCCTGTACTACTCAGGGGCACCCAACGACAAAATATTCCTGTAGGTGTCGGAATGTCGTTTTTACGTTGTAATTGTGCTTTTTGTGCAGTTTAATGACTTATTTTTAAACGCTAAGAAAAATGTATCTTTTCGGATACGTTAGCCGAACTTTCAATCTTCAGAAAGTTTTAGGGATTAAAATCTTATTATCCGAATTTACGAGCTGAATTTGCCTTTCCGAAAATCCTAGCTGACCTGTTTTTGTATCCAAAACGACATTTTTATCTCTCCGAAAACAAAAGGCATTAATTTTCCCATATTAAGAAAGTTCGAGATGACATTTCCCTAAACGAATAGCTGAGGCGATTATAGGCCTTCCGAATAGATATTCCACCGAAAAGATCCGTTGGTTGCCCCTGACTACTGATTGGCAATGTTCACAGGAGCTATCCTGAAGCTTCAAATGACATATTTGGCAACTTGCGTGACGTGCACTTTCGAGTAAACGTGTGTCCGTTTGCCTATCCAACGCAAGTATGTACGCAACTGTTCATATTTTAAAACTGGCGACTTCTTGCGACTCCGTAGGTCAGTCAGTGCATGATGGCAAACTGACAAAACTGAGGCGGTAATTACTTCTGTATAGTATTAGAACTGACTTTTATATAATTGGTGGCGAATGCTAGGAATTTGGAGAAAATTTAAAAATTAATTGGACCCATACTTTTTCGGTGTATGGCCTACTTGAATTCGCTTTCCATGCAGACTGTGGAGATTTAATGCGATTATAATGGAAAATCTCCACAATCACCAGCGCTATATAGAAACCAGTCTTTACTTGACTCAACAGAGAGAAATTAACATAATTAGAGCGATTTTCAATTGAGTATCGAAAGTAATATGGTTTTGCTTTACTGCGTTCTGTTATTGGTTTAAAAAACTCGCGCCACCTACTCCACCAATCAGATGCAAAACCAAAACCAATCATGGTTTTGGTTTATCATGTCCTGAAGAGAACCCTGAGAGGTTGAAAGTTCTAGACAAGCCAGCGAACTTTTTCATGCTCCGAACTGTTGTAATATATAAATCTAGAAGAAAATGGTTTTGGTTTTGGTTTTGGTTTTGGTTTTACGATACTCAAATTAAAACTATCTCAAATAATGGACTAGCATTGCATCCATCCATGAGGAGTAGCAATATGACTCTTAGGCGCTTCATATAATACAGTAAAAACCCGCAAGTAAGAACCTGCATTTTCCCAAGCTAGCCTAAACAGGTTCTTACATAAATGGTAATTAGCACAAATTTAGGCTATTTAGGTTCTTAAATAGGTTCTTATTTTCTGAAGAAAAAAATTACATTGTAGCTAATAGAATTTAGTGGTATTCAGCCTATTCCTTATATAAAATCTGCATACCAAGTAAGTATATGTAAAAATGACTGACTGTGTCTCCAAAGAGGATCCAAAATGTTGACCTATCTTATTTGCCCAAGTGTACACATTTTTTTATATAGATTTTAGAAAATAAGAACCTGTTTCAAATTTTAGGCTAAACAGGTTCTTGTATAGAGGGGGTCTAACTGGCAAATTTTAGCCTAACAGGTTCTTAAAAACTAGGTTCTTACTTACGGGTTTTTACTGTACTACAAAAACTTATTAACCCCTTCACAATGAATATGATATGACTATCATTCACTAACCTGAGTGCTGTATGTGTTGAAGGTATTGATAAAATTAAGTGCCTAGTCATATATTGTTTCCTCTGGGTAGAGGTTGCTAAGTAATTGATTTAAATCTCATTATTATTTGAAAAACTTAGTTTACGAGAACGTTCAGAGTTAGCTAAATTTTCTTGCATCGTTTCCTGTCAGTGACGACGAGACAAATGTTTAAAACTTTTTTTCGTAAAACTGAATGTATGGAGTCTATAAAATTATACACAGCTTACTGACCAATTAAAAAAATGCTCGATCAACATGTGATTATGCGACTGAAAAAAACGACAAATATTCACTTTTCTCTGCAGCAGCAGGCAGGTGTTATTATACGCACCTCGTTATCGCGAAAGTGTTTCGCCGCGAAATTTTAACCGCTCCGTTTTGCCAGATTTATGTGAATATTTTTTCAATGGGAGACAAAGTAGGTACAGTGTATGAGAGTATCTTACCAGGTCGCTTTACACAGAACAAAACTCTCAAGGCCCAGATGTGAAATTCCAGTCAGCCAGAAAAGTGGGTTCGTCTACTTGCTGTCGCACACTCCTAAAATGTTTTGTTTTTTCTCGCCAGAAGCGATAAACTGCATATCTCGACACGCTATCGAGCAAAATATCGTCTTTGTATCTAAATGGCTATGTTCCAACACTCTCAAATTACATCTTTTATTGATAACATTTTAAAACCATGTTTTCACCACATTGTTTACTATGTTTACTATCAAGGCGGTTTTATGTTATTGTTTTAAAGACGTTATTTGAAATTGCATTTTTATTTTCTACGGTAAAATATTGCCAGGGGCACTTTTTGTAATGTTTACAAAGTATATCTACACGTGCAAAATTTTAACTGCTGGATAATTTCAATTTTTTTCTGGATAATTGTATCAACGTTGAGAATGCCTAAAGGCTTGAACGAAAGAATATTGAATCTAATCTTTAAAAGAAAGAGCTGATAAATCTCAAACGCACATTCGTTCAAAACATGAATTCTCCTTGATTGGGTCCTTGACAATGTAGTGATACTGTAAAGAGAATTTTGATTTTGATCATTGATATAAGCTACTCGGAAAAAAAACTGACTGTCACTATTTTGTCACTGCCAGAATAATATATTTCTCATATTTCTAAAATATAGCATCATTTCTTTCCACACATTCTCACTCATCGACAAATCTAATCCTAGCAGTATGCGGGGTGTTTCGGTCACATTTGAACCTATACCCACGAGTCTCCTGTAGCTCAGTGGTAGAGCGTCCGATCGGTGTGCGGAAGGTTCAACTCCTGTTGGGGGAATTCGGAATTTTTACCGAGTAGCTTGTGTCACTGACTCACTATATCTTTTTTTTCAAATTTGGAATTTACAAAAGATGTTATCGAGAGAAAATAAGAGAACAAACTAATTACCTAACGTTGGAGTTTTTTTATCTTATCCGCAAAGAAAACTGAGTATGTTATTTTCATATTCTATATTGCATAGATAAATTTAATTTTTAATCTATTAACATAATTAAAAAGCATTATTAACGTTTCGTTGAAACCAAAAGTATATGAATAAATTTCATTCAACTAATAGTTTATGAATTAAGGTTTACAGCTTCGAGAAATACGTTTTTATCGGCTAATAAAACCAACAAAGTTCAAAATATGGCAGACCGATTTGGTAATACATCCACTCTTCTACTGACATAATTATTAATGATATGTTAATAAAAACGTTTTAAAATTCCTGGATCAGAAATTAAAATGAATTCAAACATGGACTGATAACAAAAAAAAATGCGTATATAACTGAAGGCGAATTTCTGCAATCATCAGCAATGATCAAAGCAGCTTTTTAATATTATTTGGTGGTCGAACTCAATTTTACAATTCCGAAGTGAAAATAAAAGCTATTTTTAAGCCGTTCTTAATCATTCCACCTCCTGAAAGAAAAAACACTTTTGTTTAAGTTTTTTGGCTTCTGTGCTGTAATGACAATACACTCGCTAAACGTAGGAAATTGCTTAATCCGCTTCTTTGTGTTCTATGCGTCGCTTAAACGTCACATTTCACTTTGGAATTCAAAATGTTTGAAGATCAGAAAAATTGATAATTTAATTTTCACAGTACAAGAGGGTGTATTCACGATCATGCGAATTTCGACAAGTATATTAGAAAAATTATATTAAATTTAGCTCAAAATGTTACAAGTATTGTGCCTGATTTTTTGGGAGATTTTTTCTGCAATTTTAAACACGAAACAGTAGCAATTTGAAAGCCGCTCAAATATAGGTTTTAATAAATTTACGAGAAGCAAATAAAGCAAAAAATTCAAATGGTAAACGCATAAGATATTTTTTTCATTGAGTAGTTAGGAAGCTATTAAGGAAAAAACATCACTTCCTTCAATGGGAAATAATTACCGTATTGCACTCGTAGGACGTATATCTCCTAGCAAAAAATAACATAACATTGTTTACGGAAAGTGTACTGTAAAATTACCTTGGTGATAGAAAAAAATAAAAAGATGCAAAATCTCAACTCTTTGGTGAACAGTTGTAAATTATATTTAAAACATAAAAAGGGAATGTTGCTTTGTAAAGATACGGTACTAGTTTTTAAATTAATTCCAATGTCATTTTCGTCTCGAATAGTCTCAAAAAGCGTTTCACGCTTTATTAATCTTGTCTTTACTTAATTTGTCTTCGTTTGGCAAAGATATAACAATATATGTTGTGTAGTTGTTAGTTCGTTATCTCGTTAACCTCGCAATCGACTTCTATACAATTATAAACCAACTGCCTGTAAAGTTGTGAGAAATATACTTGTGTTTTAACTGAACATTGATCAACTTACAAATTTTCTAACAATTTTTTAAAAATTAATTGTAAACATTCAGTAGATAGAATGACAGAATAACTAGCCATGAATGATATTGAAAAAACACACAAAAAAAAGCACTGATTCATATGAGTGATTAGGGTCTTATTGAATGACAAACTTTCTTTGTGAACTAGCGAAGGCCTTTAGCAAGCTCATATAAAAGTTGCTATATGTCAGTGGATTTCCAAAAACAACGAAACTTTGTTCATGCTGTCAGATATATAATCCGCTATCGCGTAACTCTACGTAAAACTTACCTGAAGTTCAAATAAAACGCCGTATTGTCTGTCGCTTCAGTTCGATATTACACAGAGCTGTTACAAAATTGTCTGATTTTCAAAGGCGCAAGTCAATTTCTCAAGCAAAGGCTTTCCATCGCATATATTTACGCGTTTTATGAAATTTGGTGAGAATAATGCACTTATTTTTTCACCAGCGAATTGAATGAAAACATTCATTATGAAGTCAGCGTGAGCTATTTTGTGATTGGTTAAATTGGCCAGGTGTTGAAACCGCCAATATGTAGAACAAAATTGATACGCAACGTTAAGACAATTGTATTATCTTATTAATAACGTGGTATTCTTAGTTATTATCCTATTGCAATGCAATGAAAAGGTGTTTTTAATAATAAAAGGGTTCTTGTTTCATTTGATGCTGGGAAACCAAACATTCCATTTGAGAATTTGGTTTGAGGTGCCGAAACTGGATGATACTCATTTTAAAAAGACGATTTCCAGCTCTAAACATTTTAATCGACATCCTTGTAATATGAATATGACAATAAATAAAATTATTTTCCACAAGTTTTTGAAATATTAAAAGAAAATTTGTAGCAATCACAAAATAGGTAGGAGACAATCTTTTCTTATGGAGAGGTTGAAATATTTTGATTGTGGACTCTTTTGCTGTGAATTTGTCTAACGTATCGAAACCAAGCTAAAACGAGGCAAAACGGGCATCATAAACGACTTTGGGTAATTTTGCTTTAATAAAGAAGCTATTTGCTGATGCCAAATGCAGTGGCGGGTCCAGACCTGGGAGCCTAAATATTAAAAGAAAATGTGTAGCAATCAGAAAAGGGGAAGAAGACAATCTCAGAAGCTATTTGCTGAAGCCAAATGTGTTTATAGCGGTTACGCATGCAGTTCGCTTTTCTCGTTTCAGAATATATATTGGATACTATTCGAAATAAACGAGACGCAGCCACAACTGTGGTGAATTTGCGGTTTCTGTAACAACAACGAGAAAAACAACCACAAAAAAAAAACTTTCGTTATAACGTAAACCCTGCCGCCATTTTGAATTTTGGAGATGATGATGCATTTCATCATTGGTGAGCAGATCAGCGACATTTCGCATTTAACAAAATATCACAGCATGGTCAATGGGAATTCTAAATATAAATCCCCGATTAAACGACCATTTGTTGAGGGCCGACTGTTGAGGCCGTTTTAAACCCCCTTTGTCTCAACATCTTCTCAACATTTCTTTTGTTCTCGAAATGTTGGAGCCGTTTGACACGGCATGGTCTCGACATCTCTCAACATGACTCAACAAACGTTGAGATAAATGTTGAGACCGTTTGATCGGAGCTTAAGGCTATGATGAAAACAATGCACTAAATTAAAATAATTTAAACGATTCTTGTGGTTGCGCTAATAATGAGTGGATAACATGGCTAATCAGTTTGCAGGTTGTCATAATCTGTCGAAAACTTTCCTATATCGATACAAAAGTCGAAACATTTATTTTGCTCACTGGAATAACTTTAAAGTCAATCGTTCATCTATTCGATAGAGCAGTTTTCAGTTGAGTGTCGTAAAACCAAAACCAAAGCAATTACAATGGCCAGTCACAAAAAAACCAAGCAACAAAACGAACCAAGAGAACTCGAAACAATATAATCAAGCGTAACGGGCGCCAAGCGCGGGAAAACGCGTGTGACCAAGTCGCGGTGGGTTTTGGTTTTGCATCTGATTGGTTGAGTAATTGGCGCAATATTTTTAAACCAATCACAGAGCGTAGTAACGCAAAACCAAAGCAATTCAACGATTACTTTCGACACTCAATTGAAAACCGCTCTAAGGGATGCCAAGTAACACAGAAAATATATTTTAATTGCCAAGTTAGGCTCGATTACCAGCCGTTGTTTTGGGAACTAAGACCGGACTCGAGAGAGCGGTGGAAATCAAGCCTATTGCCAAGTGTGATCAACGTAAAATTTCTCCCTACTGTATCAATACATTCTCCAGCAGACAGGTGATGAGAATGAAGAAAATGATCAATCGAAAAGTATTGGGTTGATGCACGACCAAATTCTCACAACTTCCATTGAAAGAAATGTATGCCAGTCAGTAAGGAGAATTTGTAGTTTGATAGTTTGAGCTCGGGACGTATTATATGACAGCTGCGACCATTGGAAATTATGTTCAAAGTACAAAGTTAAAAGGTCGGTTTATCAGAAAACTCGCGGATTTAATTTTTAATTTACTTTGGAAGATAACGCAGCATCCCCATCGAGTTTAAAAGAATTAAAAGACTCCTAACACGAGCAAAATATTAGCAAAAGATCAGACGTTTTGCCGGCTGTTTATCTTAATGAAAATTAGATAAATTTATTTACAATCACCCGGGGGGGAGTACCTCTCAAACATGAGGATGAGGGTAGGGTGTGCCGCTCGCCTCTTTAAACCCTTACACGTTTTCAGACCAAAATATGCGATTTTCCTTTTAGACCTTTCTCCAAAATGGCCGCCGCAAATTCAAAATAATTAAAATTAAACTGAGCGGAAAATAAATACCAGCACCTGAAAGACCACCTCTTGTTTAGTAATCGTACGGAGTTTCGTTAGGTTAGGTTCTACCTGAGTCGAGAAAACGGAAGTTGAAAACTGGAAAATTTAGAGACGTTTTTATGACTGGGGGTATCGCTCAGCTTTAATATGAATTTGCGGCTGCCATTTTGAAGAAAGGTCTATCTCAGACCTGACCCTTAAAAAATTCCTAATTTCCAAGTCAAATAATTCTCAAAACTCTAAACCCCATCTCAGACAAGCAGGCGAAACATACCTAATTTGCGAGCAAAATGTTCAAAATCAATGCCCGTTTTCAGACCAAAACGGCCGCTTAAAAACCATACCCTTTGGGGTGGTACATAGCTTATGTTGGGCAGCACCCCCGGAAATAAGCAACAACCACTGATACAAACGCCTCCAGCATTTCGGCTACAGACAAACATATCTCCACCGCCAGGGAATTAATTCAAAGAAACTGCTGTGCTGCTTCAATGGGCATGTGATAACACTAAGACAATTATGAACTCGGAGTTTATAAGTAAACTTATTAACCACCGGTTTAGCTTTATAACCAGCTGACATTCCGAGCGGTAAATAACCAGCATTATTGTTATATTTCATTATACTTCAAAC